GTTATAATCCTTGCTACTTCCTGTGTTTTATTCCAGTGTTATAATCTTTGCTACTTCCTGTGTTTTATTCCAGTGTTATAATCCTTGCTACTTCCATTTATTTGCTGTTCCTTTTCTAAGTCACAAGAAGGAAAAAAATTGAGGGACAAAGTTATCTGGGGACAAGTTCACAATCAGAATAACAAAGCAGTAGGCTTGGGGTCCCTCGTTTTATAATTAAGTAGTTAATTACCATGGAGAATGGAGAGACAAGAAAAGGGGCCTCCCAAACCCATAATGGGCCTCTCCCACTCTGCCCAGTCGGTGGGACTCTGCCTGTTGTGCTGGGACACGGTGCTGGCCACTGCTGTCTGGGGCCTGTCAGGGAAGCCCATCTTGGTATCTCATGATTTTGAGACATCCCATCTGTACTGATTCTCCCTTTGAAATGTGAGAGCCTGGTGACGGGACAGGATACTGTTCCACACCAGACACGCGCTGTCATGCTAACATTCAAAATGCTTTCTGAATCCCTTTCAGAATCTATAATAACTTGCCGGAAGTTAAAAAGAAGAAAGAAGAACAAAGGAAACGGGTGATCTTACAGAGTAACAGACTCCGTGCTGAAGTCTTCAAAAAGGTAATGGCTTGCCGCCAGCAGGTGTGATGTGTGTGGCGCACAGATGCCAAATCTGAACTTGACATCTTCGTTCCCTGTTTCTCTAGCAATTACTCGACCGGCTCCTTCAAAGGAATGCAGTCTGACCGCAGGCTGCCCTGCTGACCACACTATCTGGACCTCGGACGACTTCAAACGCTGGATAAGCCATTAAACTTAGCATTATCTTCACGATGTGAAAGTACTTATTTTACTTTTTTTTTTCGTAAGGGAAAACATCACTTCCTGAATTACTGACCCAAACCAAACAAACAATAACCCTCAAGGAAATAGGTCAACAGGGAAACCAACTTAATGTAACCCACAAGATACAGTCTCCTCCATTTTTTTACTTCTGATTTTTATTTTCTGCTTCTGACTTATTCCCCTCTGCTATTTTCGGCCAAGCAGAAAGGCCTTAAACACTTGTGTGCTTAGATCCCTGAAGATCTATATTTTCATCAGATTTCTGGGACCTAAATCCATCTCTTTCCGAATATCCATCTTAATGCCTGCCAGTTCTGTAAACTCCAAAATGTGGGTCACCACACAGTACATTTTAGAACTTTCTGGATAATGTACACTTCCTAATTTGAGAGACTGCCTGGAAATCACAGGTGCTATACCACAGACTGTGGAGCAAGCAGCCTGTCTCTTTGTGACCTGGAGCAGTCCAAGTGGCCCTTAGCCACCCCTACCATCTTTCCTTACTTAGCAAAAGGATCCATTTCTATGCAAACTCTGGGGACAGAATTGGCTAAATAAATGTGCAGGTAACTTCAGTGTTTTCTGCAACACCCCCCACCCCCCCCAAAAAAGGTTATGTTGTTGAAAATTGGCCTAATGCCTCCAACTCTGATATTTATTCTTTCAAACATCTATAATGTCTGTTATTCATAGATCTGTGTTCTGGGAGTCAAGAACAAACCAGTTTTTGCAACACTAATGGAAATAAATGCAATTATTACAAAATTAGAATATTTCTCTGTTACTCATTCTGTTATAAACTGTCTGCACCATGAAATGCCACCAAGGCCCCGCGGGTGCCGCTGACTGCTCCTTGTCTTCCTTCACCCTGACCACGGAATCCTTGTGCTCCCAGTGCCCAGGGGAGAGCACTGCCTCCGGGAGAGCTGATGCACAAGGAGCTGGGGGAACTATTGAGAGCAAGGTTTAGGATCCCAAAGACCTCAGCTCTCACTAGAGTCTCCCCAGGAAGGAGACAGAGATGTTGAGGATGTAGCAGGAACCTGGTGACACCTCTGTCCCTTTCCTGAGGTTGCCACCCTTCCTGCCCTTGTCCTGCTACTCCACATAGGTGCCATTTCCGAAGTGCCCTTTCTTATACATGTCTGCAGGCCTCCTGTTCAGACATCCTACCAGAGTTCTTTTCTGACATCATCTTCCTCTCTGCCCCTCCCTCCAGTGTGAATTACAGACTTCACATTGGCACATCACTCAGGAGCCCACACCATCCTGCCCATTAGGGGAGGCCTCCCAATGCTGCCAGGAGCAGAGGCTCAGGAGCCCACACCATCCTGCCCATGAGGGGCAGCCTGACAGTGCCACCAGGAGCAGAGGCTCAGGAGCCCACACCATCCTGCCCATGAGGGGCAGCCTGACAGTGCCACCAGGAGCAGAGGCTCAGGAGCCCACATCATCCTGCCCATGAGGGGCAGCCTGACAGTGCCACCAGGAGCAGAGGCTCAGGAGCCCACACCATCCTGCCCATGAGGGGTAGTCTGCCAATGCAGCCAGGAGCAGAGGCTCAGGAGCCCACACCATCCTGCCCATGAGGGGCGGCCTGACAATGCCACCAGGAGCAGAGGCTCAGGAGCCCACACCATCCTGCCCATGAGGGGCAGTCTGCCAATGCAGCCAGGAACAGAGGCTCAGGAGCCCACACCATCCTGCCTATGAGGGGCAGCCTGCCAATGCCACCAGGAGCAGAGGCTCAGGAGCCCACACCATCCTCCTATGAGGGGCGGCCTGCCAATGCCACCAGGAACAGAGGCTCAGGAGCCCCGCCTCCTGGATTCAGACCTTAGCTGGTGCTCCCTGGTCTGTGGCCTTACCCAGGAGTTATCAGTCTGAGTCCAACCAAGGGAGAGAAAACACAGTCTTTTGATGGGAACGTTTCATGTACTTCTTACTAACCATAGTAGAGGATTGGGGTAATAAGAGATTGGCAAGGGAGTGGTAAAGACAGCTGTAAAGAATGCAGGTGTGCCTAGCAGATTTAAGGAGCAGCACTATCCCTAGGAAGAGAGTTGCTATGGGCTGAGAAGCAATGGGTGTGGCTCAGCCAAGGACAGAGAGGTTTCTGTGGTGCCACGCAGATGGAACCTTTGAAAATGAACCTCTGGAACTCTCCAGAAATCTGCCTGGTAGGATGCATGGGGAGCTGTGTCATCTTAGGTGAGCACGTTGGGAAGCTGTGGGGAAGCAGCTGGCCGGGCGTGCCCTGCAGGAGCCCCTCTCTGAAGCCTGCGGAGCAAACTCAGCATCTAGGAACCAACAGCCTTTTTCTCCTGCAGCTTCTCTCTAGCTCCCTCTACTGACAAAACTTAACTCTGTGTCTGCAAGCAAAAGGAAAGTAGGGCCTGGCTCCATTTTAACAGAGCAGAAAAAAAGGATGAATTTGTAGGAGAGAGAGGAGATAGTCAATAACTGAGGCTGCAAGTTATTTAACCTGGCCTCAGTTTCCCGACTACAAAATGCACGTAATTATAGTTCCCCCTTCATAGAGCTGTTACAGAAACAGGATAAGTCAGTGCACACTGAGGGTTTAATGTCTGGCTTAAAGCAAACACACCGAGAATATTTTCTGTTATCAGTAGAGATGGAAATACAAGTGTCATGAGATACCCAAGAGCACGAGGCCATGAGATTTTCATCCCCATAGTCACTCAGCTTGGCAGTGAGATGTTTCAAAAGACTATTGAACTCATGAGTGTTGCCACAGCAGAAATCATTCAAAGAGGATACTGAGTAACCTTGTTTTCTTTTATGCTCCTTTCACTCTTAGAAACCGTTTCCGCAGCACGGAAAGCAAGCTTACCTCAAGGTTAATTTCTGCTTTCTTAAACTTACTAGGCCTTTTCCAGGATGCTACTCTGCATTTCTATTTGCATTTTAAGTGTTATTTTTAAGAAAAATAAACATTTTAAATCAAAGGATAATAGTTTGCAGATAAAGATCCTGCACATCTTTTCTTGTTTTTAATACTCTCAGAGAGTTTCCAAAGCTTTTCCTAAGCAACCCAACCACTCCTAGGCTGTTCTGTGACACTCCTCACAAAGGGGATTTATGTTAACAAACATTTGAATGGAGAATGTCTGGATGGAGTAACATTCAAAAATGCCACAAAGAGCTTACGTCCTTTGCAAACCTGATGCCAAGTCTTCAAATTTAAAGAATAAAGTCCATTCCAGCTTCAATGCCATTGAATACCCCATTTCTGAGGCCAGCTCTGAACTGAGTGGCTGAGGTAGATGCTCATACAGGATCCACAAGGTCTGGTGGGAGCTGTCTTTCCTTTGGCCAGCCAGCTTGTAACAAGGTTGGAAACTAAAGTCGGGATTTTTCCCCCCATTATTACTGTAGTAATTTTTTTTAATCCTGATAAGTGAATTGCAGATAGCCAGTATTTCTTTTCTGTTTCAACAAAGTTTTAACAGAAATGCAACACAATTAAAACAAATATGGAAGTAGTGGCATTATATAATGGCATCCCTTATTTCCCTGGAATAGAAACAAATGGCCACCCATTTGGTGGGTTCTTTTATTAAGATCAGACTTCGGAAAAGGCTTTGTGGATTTTGGAAATTCTAAACAGAGTTGGCCACTGTAATTTCCATAATCAAATTCTGTCCAGGAATTGATTTATTTACAACAGTGTTTTGCTTCCTCCTTGGTGCAGTAAGTAGCAAAATCTGAGGTCTTTAGCTGATATTCACGAGCTTGGACCAAGCAACCTTTACAAAACCCTGCGATTTTCAGGCGGTAACAGCATCAGGCCATCTCACTGTGGTCTCTGTGACTTCATGTTGGAGGAGAAATTCCTATTTGGGTTATTTGTCCTCTCTGCCAGCTGGTAATGGAATAATGAAAAAACAATTGCCTTGGTTTTTTTCGCCAGTGCCTTTTGCCAACTGAACTTCCTGGAAGTTGGGCACTCCCTGATTCAGCAATGCTTGCTCCGACGTTCCAGGCGCTCTGAAGGAGAACTATTTGTGAAACAGCCGGTTGTCAGAGAGCAGTTGAAAATCCAATGCCTTATGAAGTTCTCTCATTTCAACACTGTACAGAAGTTGCAGGGCAGATGGTGGGCCTGGTCTCCGTAGCATCAAATGACCAACAGCCTGGGGATGATGCTCACGGATACACGGTGACAAGTGGGGTGTGATGTGCCTGCCAAACAGGAGGTGAGCTGACAGTTGGTGCATGAGTCCTGGAACATGATACAGAAATGATCTGCTGCGGTTCTGTGTCAGAGTGCATTTGCTTGCGCAAAGGAAATGATCTGTTAAGTGATTAAAATGAGTCCCTCTGCAGATGGTTCCTCTCCATAGAGGTCATCATGTCTGTACTTTTATCAGTACTTGAAAATCACCCTAGCTCTAATAAAACCTTAGGAGTGGCCAAAGCAGCCTGCACCAGGGGCCAACCTGCTGTGGAAATCCCTCCACCCTCTTTCATCTCTCCCACACTGACGGGACATTTCCTCAGTCAGGGGAGTGGGGTGTCCAGAGGCTCCCCGGGATCTCATCAGATCTCCCCATGCCCCCCATAGTGTCCTGCTCACCAGGGACCAGCAGGCTCCCTCACTCACTCAGATGTTTTAGCCACACCAAACCTACCAACAATGTGGGCAAATCTCTTCCAAAATTGAAAGCTTTTTTCTAGTTGTGAGGATTGCCTCAGGCACAGTTCTGATCCTGAGACTGTCTTGAGGTACTTGTCTGGGCTGTGTGTTGGACAGTGGAGGAGGAGGGTTGAAATCCTTCCCCCTTTTTGTTCCTGCTTCTTTAAGAAGGTTTTCGAGTACACGTTCTGGGCCAGAAATGTGACTTGAAGCAGTGGCTTCTTTCTCAGCTCTTCTCCC